CTTGTGCAAGTAAAAGATGATAACACACACTCTCCATTTTCTTAACGGAGCATAGATTATCTCATTTTAAGATTCAGTGAGATAATTTACAGAGTGTTAGAAGTGGCCTCTGAAAACAGGGAAAGAGCTTTTTACAAGAAGCAGACAAGTGAGCAGTGTGCTTGGCTCCTGAGGCTATTGCATGAGGCATGTTACTCAAAGCATGGTTTCACAGCACACCCAAATAGAAATACTGCAAAAGTCTGGGTACTGGACATACATGTTCCTAGTAGGCTGATACAGCCAATTCATAGGCTGCATTAGGCCAAGCAGAATGCTACGGTTTGGGGTGGGGTTTTTTACTCCAGACCGTGAAAAAGGTGAATGTATCAGTACCAGATATTGAATCTATTAACAGAGAACGAAGATACACAAGATTTCAGTTATGCTAGAGCATCTCAGTCATAGCATACCTCAACCTAAAAAGCCTGCATTGAAGAATTAAATTGGTAGATTAAAAAGGCAAGAAGTATAGTCAGTATATGTGCTGGAAACCTCCTTAACAACTGTAGTTTACCTGAAAAACAGTAGGAGAACAAGCTTAACATCTTGTCTGTCCTGAAGTTTCCCTGTTTACAAAACAAATTAACAGACTTAACAGACGTCATAACAGTCTGTGAATTTCTTATGTGGCTGACTTGACAAATTCAGGCACAGAAACAACTGATATGCCATTAAAAATTTATACACATATATGGTAGCTGACTTCACAAATTAAGGACTTCAATTCAAAATGGGGTTTGGTGACACTGTATGGTTTTGTGTAATAACTTATGTTCACCCACTACCACTTCTGGGTAGCAACTACAGTCATGATCTATCTTATTGAGATTTCTCCCCCTAAAATAGCTCATCATGTAGTATTTTGTGTCTATTAAACAAACAAAACAAAACAAAAAAACCACACAAAAAATAACAACAAAAATATGATTCCCAAAAACCAAAACTGAACTCTTTTCCTAGGAAAGCAAACAACTTAATGATCAAATGGACTAAAAGCTTCAAGACTGCTCTATTTTTTGCCCTTGTCATAAAGAAAATGGATAGAAAAGGAAAAGGGAGACTGATTACTGAAGATGTAATTCAGTCTCTGAGTTCTGATGATCTCATAAACTTTAATGGGTCTGAGAAAAATTCTTGACTGAATTAAAGGCATGTTATCAATCTCTTTGAATCCATTTTCATATATGTTATCAGTATCTCTTTGGCCATTATTCGGTGTATAAAACCAAGGTAAAATTAGATTTTGATCACCTCAGCTGGGCTGAAGTTTGCCTTTATTTCTTTTGGGTAAGTTTAACATTAGAGAATGCTGTTGCTATTCTCATGTATTTCTGTAGCTTTCCCAGAAGAAACTTTTAAGGATTTGAAAGTCAAATAAAAATTGATCTTTCTAAAAGGTGATAAACAGGAGCTTCTATCTTATTTTGTGTGTAGGTTGCCAACTTTTCTTAATGTTGTAAAGGGATCCCATTCACCTACCAGATCACAGCCTGCACATCCTTGCTCACTTACAGTCCCCAGTTCCCAGTACTCATACCACAGAAGACAATGATGACCAATCCATATGAACATTCCACTGGATTGTGTTAGCCACAATTGCATTAGGTAATATTTGATCTAATCATTCTAACCTGGGGTCATAAATACTTGTATTGGATGCCCATAGCAAGATGTTGGCAGTATGAGGGCTGAAATGGTAGTCTGACTGGGAAGACACCAGGGGCTGCCCCAAGCTGAACACAGACAGTTCAAGCTGACTTCAGTGGACTCCCAACAGAACACACCTGATCTCCGCAGCTAAGCACGTGATGCCACTCTAAAAATATCTTTATAGAAAGGGAAAAAAAGGCAACGAAAGGGAGAGAGAATAAAAATGAGAGCGAATAGAGGGAATATTAAGGTCAGAGCTGGAGGAGGTGCTCCATGGTGAGGATCTCCACACCAGAGCTCGTGGAAGACCCACAGCTGCTGCAGATCGATATTCCTGAAGAAAGTGCAGCCCATGGGCAGCCCACACTGAAGGAGACAAAAAGCGTGAGGAGGAAGGAGAAGCAGCACAAAACCACTGTACACTAGCTATAAATCCCCCCACCCCCTTGCACTGCTCAGGTCTGGGAGGGGAATCAGAATGAGTGACATTGAGAGGGCGAGAAAAATATGTTTTAATGTCTTTGTTTCTCACTACCTACATACATATTGGCAAATATTAAATTAACCTTCACCAAGTACAATCTCTCTTGGTCACAACATTAAATGGTAAACAAACTTGACCCATGAGCTTTCATATCCTATTTTCTCCTGATGTCATGCTGAAGAGGGGGAAGAAGTGAGCAGCTGGGTAGGCATTTTTGCTATTAGCCAAGATTAGCTGACTGTAACACTTCACAGTGTCTTTCTGTTTTCCTTTTTTTAGAATTTCCAGACTAATTCAATATTTTAATTCATTAGTTACCTGTCAGTGACTATCACCTTTGTCCATCTGAGATTCAAACCTCAGACACCTATTATTTCAGTACCATTAACGATCCAATTGCTATAAATAACGTCAACCATATTAAGTGCATCCAAGGCCAAACAGTTTACAGCATTTTAATCATTTGATAAAAGTGTTAGTTTAATTGTATGTTCAGCTTCCAAAGCTGCCTTTGAAATATTGACTCTGGTCAACTAATTTTATAAACTAAATCAGAAGAGTTTGTGTAGCCCACCTTCCAGGCCACTTCAAGTATAAATCAATTCTATACTCCACAGAAACAAAGAAACACAGTAGACAATGCCGATATTTTTCTTCTTGACCTTTTAAACCATGTTGACATGATTCCAGGTTTTGCTGTTCTATAACATCATTTGTACAGCTCCAGGTTTTTTTTCCATAGCTTGTAAGGAAGCCATTATGCAGGAGCCTACACTCGGTTTTAGTGTCTTTCAATCTCATTGAAGAAGAGACTGTCAAAAGTTAGCAATGTTTTTGAGCTTTGCAAGGAAAAGACTGCTCTCTTAGGACTCAGCCTTGGAAGGACTTCCATGCACAGATAGGTTTACATGCAAAGGCTGCCCACAATGCATTGTTCTAGTTTCAGATGGGATAGAGTTATTTTTCTTCTTAGTGTCTGGTGCAGTGCTGTGTTTTGGCTTTAGTCTGAGAACAAGGCTGGTAACACACCAGTGTTTTAGCTGTTGCTCAGTAGCTCTTATCCTGATCAAGGATTTTTCAGTCTCTCATGCTCTGCCAGTGAGGAGGGGTACAAGAAGCCAATAGGAAGCAGAGACAGGACACCTGACCCAAACTAGCCAAAGGGGTATTCCATACCACAGCACATCATGTCCAGTATATAAACTAGGGGGAGTCACCCAGGCAGTCCAGCTCACTGTTCAGGTCACTCTGGGTATCAGTCAGCAAGTAGTGAGCAACTGCATTATGCATCACTGCATCTGTTTTTTTTTTTCCTTTCCACTTTTAGTTTTATATCCTCTCCCCTTGTTATTCCCCTTAATAGTAGTAATAGATTGTATGTTAGTTATTAAACTGTTCTTATCTCAACCCACGAGTTTTACATTCTTTCTGTTCTTATCCCACCTGGGGAAGGTAGGGGGTGAGTGAGCATCTGCATGGTTCTGAGTTACCAGCTGGGCTTAAATCATGACATGCATAGACATGTGCATTATGCCTTGTGCATTACAGGGCATTTAGAAGCAACTACAAAAATACTCATTGATCTTAACATACCAATGACTGGGTTTAAATTCACCATTCTAGTCCACAGGATTGAATATATTCAGTTTTCCTAGGTGCTTAAAGCATTTCCTAAAGCATTTCCTAGATGCTTTAATTCCTTTGCCTGTTCAGGATATATGTTTTTCTGATTCCATTATGGTTCCTTTTACCAGTTAAGTTTCACCTGGTTTGTTCCCTACCTTTGTTGTATGAAGGAAGAGGAGAGAAAGGAGAAAGAAGACCTGCACTATTCATGCTGTTGCTAGCATTCTGTGCAGTGTTTACTTATGATGTGAAGTTAATGTTCACCCTTTGTTTCTGTTTCCTGCACACCATTTCTAACAATTATTTTCTACCTTAAGTGAAAAGTCAGAAGGGAAAGTTAATTAGTCTTTGCGTGTCCCTGGAGCAGAACATAAATATGGCCAAACCGTATCTCACGCAAGTTTAGTCTGCTTCGACATTGCCTGTAATCACCAGTAATAGATGTTCAGAGAATGTTCAGAATAGATGTTCAGAAAAAGTAGGAATAGCTAAAGAAAAGCCTGACACTTCTTCCTAAAGATTCACCTGCTCATCCTCCAGGAATCATGATATTAGGACCCTGACAAATATGGATGACATCTGAAACTGTAGTTAAGTACCACCCAATGGTTTTGTTTCTCCTTGAACAATAACTCTCAAAGCTGCTGTGGCAACGGGCAGCTATGCATCCAACACAAAATACAATGTCAGTGCATGCCTGGGAGTCCTTTTCTCAGTCTTTATTATATATTCGTATCATGTCTCACATGTAGGATCATTTTCAGACAGACATTTTTGCCCACAGTAACATGCAGTGCTGTTTATAGAACTCTCCATACTCTTTTTAAAGGAAAACAGACAGTGGGAACAAATGAAGGTTAGTATGTGAATTTGACTGTCAAGATGCACTTCACTTTCACAGAAGATAGCTATTTGCGGCATTCTCCTTATCATTGTTGGCCAAATCCCCTTTGGGGTCATGTCCTCCTTCATATATCAGAATAAATACAGGCAAAATTTAGTCACTTGAAAACCAAAATAAAGAAGCTTGGTTCCATTCAACTGCTGCTAAGGCATTTTCAGTGAGACTACTAAGAAAATATGATTGATAAAAACTTCAAGGAATGTGATTTAATCTGATAAGAAAAGATTTTAAGACTGTGATAAAATACCTCATAAGCTGAATAAAAAATTGAAGAAGCATAGTTTATTATCTTACTTCAAATGGGAGCTCTGTTATTTCCATATTTCCAGACAAATCCAGTTTTTCTAGATTCTCACAGTCACCCAGTTCTGGAGGAACTGACTTCAAATTATTGAAACTCACATTGAGCACTCTGAGACTTTTTAAGCAGCCTGTGAGGGAAAGATAATAAAATCAGCATGTTTAAATAAATAAATAAATAAATAAATAAATAAATAAATATAATTTTAAAAGGGAGAAAGTAAAACTAAAAGGCATACTTAGTCCATTAAAAAAAAAAGGAAGAAAAAACCAAACAAACAAAACAACCCTCCTTAATTTGGTGACCTTAATTTGGTGATGAGTAAGAGATTAATAAATATTTTCTGCAATGGTTACTAATACTGGAAGCAACAATAGTGCTGTGTAACACTCAAATGCACTTCCCTTAATCTGCAATGGTTTTGGCAAGAGTTTAAAAAGAGGCAGCAAACGCTTGCAAAGATCTTGATTCTACCAGGGATAAGATACCTATTGACCCCAGCTGAAACTAGAGAAGTTGGCTTTTCGTTTGGCTACTTTAGAAAACTTGTGCGCTAACTGAAAGCATCTTAGTATTTTTTACAGAATGTCCTAATTGGGAACAATTTCTCCCACTAAACTTACAATGTTAAGAATTCTCTCTCTGGTATGCAGCACTGCATACTTTTGATTATAAAATATAATGGACGTGTGCATTTGTTTCATTATATTCTTTATTGAAAGTTATTGTTCTTGATGGATTAATCTTAAGGCCCTTGTAATATTCTAGTTTACATTTATTCACATTGTACTTTCTTCAACTTATAGGATGACAAAAACAACTTTAGAAAAATCATTAAAATTCAAGATGTATTATACTGAAAAAGTGCACATTACACTGTAGCATAGTCAAAGGGGGAAACAGTAAGGAATTTGAATATTAGCAAACGGATCCTTAAATACATCCACAACAAAATGAGAACATTCTACATTCTATGGACAGTTCTGTTGTTGTATTGCATGGGTGATCATAGAATTGCAGACTCACAAAAAGTTCTCAGTGGGAAGGGACCTTCAAAAGATCATCTAATCCAAAGACTTGTGAAACCTGACTGAACACTTCCCATGATGAGGCATCCACAACTTCCCTGGGAAACCTCACTACCCTCATCATAAAACATTTCTTCCATTAATTCAATATAGGTCTATCTTAGTTTAACACCATTGTCCTTAACCTTGTCCAGGTCCTGGTACAAAAAGTCTTTCTCCACCTTTCACATAAGTTTGCTTATGTACTGAAAGACAGCAATAAGGTCTCCCTAGAGCCTTCTCCAGGCTTAACAACCACAACTCTTTCAGACTTTCTTCACAGAGATTTTCCAGCCCTCTGACCATTCTCATGGCCCTCCTCCAGACCCACTCTAACAGGTCTATATGTTTCTTGTACTTTCTTGTACTGTATATCTTTCTTGTACGTGGAGTACTTCATCCAGTTTCTGAAGTACTCCAGTATTCTAGTACTTCACAAACAAGATGAAGTACTCCACGTGGAGTCTCACAAGTGTGGAGTATAACAGGAGAATCTCTTCCTTCAGCCTGCTGGTCACACTTCCTTTTTTGCAGCCCAGGATACAGCTGGTTTTCTTGCACTGCTAGAGGACGTTGACAGCTCATATCCAACTTCTCAACCACCACTATGACCAAGAACCTCCTTGTGAGGCTGCTCTCAATCCGTTCATCCCCCAGCCTGTATTGTTATTGAAAATACCCCAACTGAGGTGCAGAATTTTGCAGTTGGCCTTATTCACTTTCAGGAGTTTCACATGGGCCCCTTTCCTCAAGCTTGTCAATGTTCTTCCTTCACTCAAGCATATCAACTGCACCACTCATCTTGGTGTCATCTGCAGTAATCACCTCTAATCGGTGATATTCCTGCAATATTCCCCTCTAACCAGTGATTCACAAGCAAAAACAGCATTAAGAAACTTAAACACAATTCAACAGCTGGAAATCAGGAGAGAACAGCATCTTATGTCAATAGGTTCTCAGAGCAGACCATGTATTGGTAAGCCAAGACAAAACAGACACAAGATCCACAATTTTATATTATATCAGTCTTTTATTTATAATCAAATTTAAAAAAAATAGTCTGTTGTTTCATGGCATTTGGATGACACTGAAGAGAATCTCTCTACAGTACATCTCAAATGTTCAAAACAGTGTCATAATAGTGGTCCTATCCTTAGGCTCTAACATTTAGTTAAATTCTCTCCAAAGCAAAAGTTGTTTTACTTTTCACAATATGTAGAAAGAGGCCAGATGGTGTTTCCACAGGAAAAGAAAGTGAAGAAACAGGGAATTGAAAGCCCCACATTTTTTCCCCTGAGAAATTGCTACTGTCAGACAGAGACATGCAGTTTGATGACCAATAATAGCAGCCACAAAATCACACAGCATTTTACAGAGTTTTCGTTGGCCACTATATTGTCAGTGATGGTGGGACTGCCAAAATCTTTCTAGCAGGTGACAGACAAGCCTTATATGGTAAGAACTCTGTTATATTAAACTCCATAGGTTGCAAGAGATTAAAATACAAAAGCTTCCACTCATCTTCTTCCCAGTTTTAGCTCTGCCAGAAATAGAAACTGAGGTGGTATTTCAAAATTTAGCTGTCCTTTTAGGAAGGTAACTTTGCCTTTCTTATTCATTATGAGGTACCGTTTTAGTTAAAATAGCAGAAGCAGAATTCTCTATAAGACTAAAACAGGTATGGTTTTGCCAGTCCATTACTGTCCCACAAGACAAGGCTGGTATAAGAAAGTAATAGAAGGCACTCAATGGTGTAATTGTGTGAACCACCTTTTTTTCCAGATTTTTAAGCACATAACAGAAGTTTAGCCTACCAGTTATGAAGCCTCACCAGTTTTAGTGTCATGATTTAGACAGATGAACGTATTACATCATATGACAAGTGTCATAAACATCAACTTACCACCTCATTGCAACAAAATAATCACTGAAGCAAAAATGTGTTAAAATAAAATAGAGAACCAAAAAATTACAAATTTATTCCTCATCTGATCAATCTCTTAGTGAAGGAGAGCAAATCCCAACCACTTAACTCATTAGCACTGGAATGTTTTGAGTTGTCCTTTTACAATGGGATATTGTACTGGGCCTGGCTGGAATGGAGTCAGTTTTCTTCAAAGCAGCCCATATGGTGCTATGTTTTCAATTTGTGACCAAACAGTGGTGATAATACACCAATGCTTTTGCTATTGTTGAACAGTGTTTACATAACTTGAAGTCTGCCTTTTTTTTCTGCCACAGGGGTGTGCAAGTTGCTGAGTGGTGACAGGGCCAAGACACTGGACCCGAATTGAGCAAAGGAATACTGTAGCATATTACATCACATTCAGCAGTAAAAGCCCAGGCAGGAGAGGTATGAGGAGGGGTTTTCCAAAGTGGCTATGGCTCAGAGACTAGCTGGGCATTGGTCAGCTGGTGGTGAGTGGTTGCTTTTGCATCACTAGTTTTTTTGTTTGCTTGTTTGTTTTTCTTCACTTATTAAATTGTCTTCATCCTGGTGCATAAATTTTCTCATTTTTGCCCTTCCAATTATCTCCCCATCCTCCTGCGGAGACTGAACAAGCAGCTGCAGGGGTCTGAGCAAGCTGCGTGAGCTGTCTTAGTTGCCTATGAATGTTAACCCACAACAGATGTATTTCTGTTACTGAAATGCCTACTTCTCAGTTCCATTAGTAGCTGCAGAACTAATGCAGACAAGGCATCCAGTGTCATCAACATCCTACTCACCCTCTTACCTAACTCAGCTCCATGCATAACTGGGAGACAAGGAGCAGAATTACTTACAAAAAAAACAATTACAAAAATTTAACAGCCTTTCTGGGCAGAGTGACAGAGACAAGCACAGCTTCCCTGTATGACTTTCCTGCCTTCTGAAATCATGACTTTTCAAGATTTTGTCTCCTTTCACAGTTTCTAACATGTGTGTTACTGTTCATAGTATGGTTTGTCGCAGCTGGCAGGTATGACAAAGCAAATAAGTAGAAGATGCATCATATTTTTTCTTGTCATATATAATCTCTCTCTAATCCAACATCTTAGATGGAATCTGCAATGAATTGCCAGTAACTGTGGTGGCTAAGATTACAAAAATTACTGGAAAAAGCTGTAAGTCTTACAACTGAATTTAATTCTGATAAAAAACTCAGGACAGCATAGATGAGTTCACCAAGATCTGCAGGGAACAATGACTTGCAATTCTGTGTAATGGCTATTTTTTCACCTCTGGGCTCTCTGGTGGATTAAGTTATGCCACTCTCCTTCTAGGACCATTAGACATACACAGGATTTGCCAAGACCTCCTGCATAAAATCTTTACACCACCAGTTCACATTATCCCATTTTTTGATTTATCACATTCTGTCTTAAAAATAGCTCGTTTTTTTTACAATCACTGTTCTTATGAAAAAACAAAGTTGCAGAATTTCATTCTTTTCATGATTTGGAATGGTCTTTGGATTGCCAGTCTAAATTTATTTGTAGAAGTTTTATAATTATTAATTCACTTGCCAATTTTATATTTAAATAGTACTTTTCACTTCCTGGTGTTTTCTTCTCTGTTTTTTTATAGGTAGCAGATGTATCAGAATTTATTCTACTATCCTGAATAGCCAATTCTTCTAATATTTTCTCACAAAAGAGAAATTCCCTCCTAGAATGGTCCTATTAGACTATTTTTACATCTGTTCCCATCTGGAATAACTTATCTTGAATCTAGGTGACCACAGCTTTATGTATGTATCACACTGCATTTTCCATCTGTGACTGTTAGATTAGGAATTTTGTTTCTTCAATTATTTGCGTTCAATGAGCTTATGATTTGCTACCCGAATTATTAGCTCCTGAGTACATGATCTTGAACTCTGCAATCATGAATTTAATCTGTCTACTTTTTTGGAAGCGCACTTGCTTATCCAGCTTTCCATATTTCCTCCTGTTTGTGTACTAAGAATAGCACCCAAACTGTGTCAGCAAAAATATGTCAGTAGCCTAGTTCCTCAAAATAATTAAGAAACAAACTCAAGACTAATTGAGAAACTCCACAAGTGATCTTCCTCCCAAATGA